AGGTTTGATCGCACTAGATTGATACCCTTTAACGTAACACTGTGGTCAACGCAACCAAAAGAGAAGGCAACTCCCTGCACATAATAACGTAAAACACTGGTCAAATATTAGAAAAGATTAGTCGATAAGACTGAACACTCTTTGAAATAAGAAATTAACTTTTCAAGTAATAAAATAATAAAATATATCTGCCAACTCAAACAATCAACAAAAGTCAGTACATAAAATGAATCTTATTATTATGCAAACAAAAGCACATATCGTGGTTCAATCCCCATGCTGAATCAGTTGACCTGTCATGACCTACATTGGATACCAAATAAAGAAGTAAATACGGAACCCCGCGACAATGCCATGTAAACAAGTTAAAATGATGGGGAAGCGGGGCGAAAACACGCTAACAAGCCGGGGCGCGGGACGAAAAGTAGAGATTTAATTGTTATACGTTGGGGCGGCGAAGCGGAATATTTATATATGACGCTAATTAGCGTGTTGTTGTTCGCGACCCCTCCAAATTATTCTTAAATAGCTCCACTTTTCGCTCCCCGACCCCGCTTATAAAATGTTTTCTCATATACAATCGACTGTGAAAAGTGTAGAATTGGTATTAGTTGCGGGGCCTCTGTTGCCGAGTGGTTAAGTTGTCAATGCCAATTCACCGCTAAGGGTTCGAGTCCCGTCAGGGACTTGGATTTATTCATGTAAGGAGGCTATAAGAAGGTCGGTTGTTCTACTCCGTCGCTCCTTCGTGCATCATTTTAGACATGAGCGAGGTCTTCCTCCACAAAATCGGCGTGACTCACAATCCATCAAAGCATAAACAAAACATTATCGCCAAATTGCACATGAATTATATATCTACCAGTACCTAACTATGAATCGCTTTTATATACTGCAAGACATAGACCAAAGTGATGTTTTTGTTTTTATCAAAGCTGTTTAATGAAAAAGTAATCTCTCTATATTTCAATTTGTAACATTGATACTTAATTTGTGTTGGTTTTTGATCCAATTATCCTAATTTGTAACATAAAAAGTTCAACAAAATTATATAAATGTAAATTACTTAAATTTTACGTTTGAATTATATAAAACAGGGAAAAACTTTGACCAAGTTTCAGTCAGGTATATTTTTAAAATATTTTTATTTGCTTTATTCTTGTTATCTGAGTACCCCTTTTACACCACGCGATATGTAGAGTAAAATGTTAAAAAGAAAACAATACAGTTCATTGTCATTTTGCACTTTATAAATAGAATTGCAAACACTTAACATACCACTCTTTGTGCGCATGATCAAACGTATAGAAGTGTTGAAAATTGATCACCTTCAAACCGGATTTAAGAAACCATTGCCATATATGGATCAAACGTCACACTCAACATTCCTGCGATATTTAAAGGTTATTTTTTCATTAAAAATATAACTAAACCAAGCATTTGTCTTAAGACAATTATTGTCGGGAGGTTTTTCGGTAAGTTCCGTAATTTAGTACGATGTACATTTCCAGTTTCTGATGATGTTATATATCAAATATGACTAGGCGACTAAACGCCTACAATCCAACAAAAGATCTCTCCCTCAAATATGACTAGACGGCTTAAAGCCCGCAGCCCAACAATAGCTCTCTATTTCTATCTCTCTCTAATATGACTAGGTCATAACGTTTATAATGAATATATTGTAATACAGAAAATATGGACGATATGCGTCGCAAAGACACATTCTCGCTGCAAAACGTACCAGGTACGATATTCACCGCAAAATGTCCACGTGTGTACGATATGCTACGCAAAACGTCCACACGCGTACGTTTTGCGTTACCGACGTTTTGCTACTTTGTCAAAAAGTATATAGAATTTGAAATTTTAAAACATTAATGTAGTAAGACAGTCAACAATATAGAGCATTTATAATCAATTTGCATTAGTGATGTTCTATGTAACAAATGTTCCTTTGATCAATGTGTGTGAAAGTAATATACTTGCAACAGGTGTATTAATATATTTAAACAATCCTTCGGGTATTGTTATGGTTTTGTAAGACATCCGATTTCAATATTTAAAGCATATTTAAAATGCATCGAGAGTTGGAGAAAAAAAAAAATAATAATTGTGATCTACGCATTACTTCCGTACAACACATTATTTCAATAATAATAATAATAATAATAATTGTATCTATGTATTACTTCCGTACAACACATTATTTCGCTTTTCAAAAGCTTTAGATACATAAATTCCAAGTTTCCTAACAATTTTTACATTTTCTATTGTTAACAATTCAATAAATTTAATCATGTTTGGATGCTTCCAATATCTTTTATGTATATATATTTTCCTTAAATCAGTGTACAATGAACATTCAAGAATAAAATGATATTCGTCTTCTAACATATTACATAAAGTACATTTTCTTTCATCAATTGGTGTTCTTAATGGTCTAGTCCATCTACCTGCCTCTATTTGCAATCTGTGAGAAGACACTCTTAATCTTATCAATGAAAAACAAAACTTATTAACTGTTATGTGATCTAGATATTCTTGAAACTTGAAAACTGCTATATTTCTATAAAATAATGCTCGTGGTGAACTTTGTATCCTATCATGCCAGTTTTGAACAAAATTATCTTTCAATCTTTGTTTTACTAATTCTAGAAATATGTCTGCATTTCCTTCATTTTGCTGTAACCAAACTTCATAAAAAACCTAAAACACATAATACATTTTTCAATCGTGAACACCAATTAACTTTAGTTGGATTATTTTCAAAATCGTTCTTAAGCAATAGATATATCTTATAAATGTACCTATTCTCGTTACTTTCTTAAAATTTTTATCCAGTATTTTAATGATATTAAACAAATGTCTACACTGAAAAGTGTTCTTCCAAGTTCACCGTAAATAAAGTCATTTAAGGTTGTTTTCTTAACACCTAAAATCTGTTTACAAAACTGTATTATTGCGATTTTATACTTATAAACACTTGATAAACCAGTGTTACTACTGCACAAACTAAATTATCAGACCAGGCTCAGAAAGCCATTTTTAAATTAAATAAATATTTATATAAGTTTACATACATTAAACCTAGACATAAGTTAGTGTTATTTGATGTTTTAATTGCACCTATATTAAATTATGGTGGTGAAGTTATGGGTTTTAGTTTAAGCCAGTCAATTGAAAGGACACATTTGCAGTTTTGTAAAAAGATTTTAGGTGTTAAGAAAAACAACCAAAATGACTTTATTTACGGTGAACTTGGAAGAATATCTTTTCAGTGTAGACAATTTGTTTAATATCATTAAATACTGGAAAAAATTTTAAGAAGTAACGAGAATAGGTACATTTATAAGATATATCTATTGCTTAAGAACGATTTTGAAAATAATCCAACTAAAGTTAATTGTGTTCACGATTGAAAAATGTATTATGTGTTTTAGGTTTTTATGAAGTTTGGTTACAGCAAAATGTATGAAATGCAGACATATTTCTAGAATTAGTAAAACAAAGATTGAAAGATAATTTTGTTCAAAACTGGCATGATAGGATACAAAGTTCACCACGAGCATTATTTTTATAGAAATATAGCAGTTTTCAAGTTTCAAGAATATCTAGATCACATTACAGTTAATAAGTTTTGTTTTTTCATTGATAAGATATAAAGAGTGTCTTCTCACAGATTGCAAATAGAGGGCAGGTAGATGGACTAGACCATTAAGAACACCAATTGATGAAAGAAAATGTACTTTATGTAATATGTTAGAAGACGAATATCATTTTATTCTTGAATGTTCATTGTACACTGATTTAAGGAAAAATATATATACATAAAAGATATTGGAAGCATCCAAACATGATTAAATTTATTGAATTGTTAACAATAGAAAATGTAAAAATTGTTAGGAAACTTGGAATTTATGTATCTAAAGTTTTTTGAAAAGCGAAATAATGTGTTGTACGGAAGTAATACATAGATACAATTATTATTATTATTATTATTATTGAAATAATGTGTTGTACGGAAGTAATGCGTAGATACAATTATTATTATTATTTTTTTTCTCCAACTCTCGATGCATTTTAAGATTACATCCTTATTAAATGTTAAGTATTATTACTTTAATGAAAATATTAAAGTGAAATACTTATGAAATACTTACGATACCTCCTTAATATTGGTCTTGAATTTTCGTCTCGTCAAGACCAATAGCTCGATATGGAGGTCGTTCTAGACATAATGACTGAGATCGGTTTACTGTATCAAATATAATTTATGAATACATGTATATCAATATGATCTGCGCATTACATCCGTAAGACTTATATGTATGTACATATATATATATATATATATATATATATATATATATATATATATATATATATATATATATAATATATTATATATATATATATTATAATATATATATGCGCGTGAGTGTGTGTTTGTGTGTGTGCGTGCGTGCGTGCGAGCGTGTGTGTGTACGTTCTTATGTTTGTAATATTCATGTTCGAACTTCTCCAATTATTGATGTTTAAGGTACATTTTACTTGTCATTGTTCGCCATTTATAACATGCTTGTACTGCCATCATGGGCATATTGCCTAATGGAATAAAAGAATATAAACTAAACTATAAACTAAACAATAACGTTAATTTCCCTCGATTGTATGAGTACCGTATCGACCTGTTTGACTTTTCAAAAAATGTGAAGTTAACCTTAATTTTGTTAAATAACACCTTAAATTTTAAGGCAAAATATCCAAGAACTTCTCGTACTCAAAATTACTTTAAACGTGATAATAAACTTCATAAACAGTACTGTTTTCCTTATTTATGCTCCTGAACAACTTCGACAGTCCGTGTTTACTAATTAATGTCTTTTCACAACGTTATCATTCGAATCCAATCATTATGCAACATAGCAGATATCTTTTTTCATTTGACAACGTTTTCTTGTCCAAATAAACATCATCATTGCACTTTTATACGTGCTGTAATATCATTTTATCTGCTTTGGTCAGTTTAAACCAATACTTAATTATTTTAAATATATCATTAATTCAAGAATATACATTAGACGTATCTTAGGCAACAGGGCAGCCGTCAAACACAGAGCTTCAAACAAAATAATTATATGTGTGAACTAAAAAATAAAAATAAAACAAGTCTTACATATATTTCATCTATTGCAATGTAAAGTAACAAAAGAAAAGATTTCCATGAAACATTGCTAATATGTTATGTGTACATTTTACAAAAAGAAGAAGCTGTAAATTAATGTAAGGCATGTTTTGCATGCGCTCGTTTTCTCGACTCGAGCTTTATAAGACTCAAACTTCTTCTGATCCTTAGCACTCCCTTTACGTCTCTTTCTAGTGTAACATTTTTATTTGACGGTATTGTTTTACTTTCTAGTGGGATTTCACTAAACACAGGGTCCTCGGGGTCGAATACAGATACTGTTACATTGCCCCGGTCTGTAAGAATAATCTGGGTCTCTTGTTCTTTGATGGATAATATTTTGCATTTGTTGTTCGAGTGCCTAACTACCAGATCCAATGGCTTTCCGAATTTGTTTGTCACGTTCGTTATGTCAAACGTCACCTGTTGATCCCTTTCGTTGGAACGCTTGAACATGAAAGAAAAAATACGATTTTAAATGTATTACCAATTAGTGTGATTTTGAGATTTTGTAAGGTAATTATATTATTGTTGTGATTTTCTAGAGTGTTGGGAATCCAACTAAATTAACCATTTTATGGGAATTTAAGCACATACGAAACGGTATAAGTGTGTTTAAAGCGTCTTGTCTTCTTTCGATACATGAGATTTAGTTAAACGCAGATTGAAATAAATCCAAACCATTTTATGACCAATACAATCATTACAGCATATCATATTATATACAGATAAATAATCTACAGGGATGAATTCACCAGAATTGTAAACATTTACTATTCTATACTTTCTTTTTCGCTAACAATTTTTGCTGAAATTATTAATATTGATTTTTTTAGTTATTTAACAATACAATAATTATAACATGAATACCCCACCTAAAATTAGTAAGTGAGTAAATTAATTAATTAATTAATTAATTAATTAATTAAAGAGAACGACCTTTAAAACGACAATTCTAAAAACCCTTGAAAACAAAAAAATCATCATATTTTTTGCTGGTATCAATATGTAGTGTACTTAAATCCATGTAGTCACAGTAATTACTGAATATATCAACTATCATAAATACATAACCCTTGCCCTTCTGACCGAGTCTGCAATTTTCATGTAATGTTGTTTTATTAATTATTTCGAGGGATTACTCTTTTTCTAGATTTTTATTATATCAGAATTTAACTGACATTTCACACAGACATTGAAGTTTACAGCAACCTATGTAGTTATCGTATTAAGACATTTACGAGAAGGTGATTGGACAGTCAGTCCCGCTATTAATGTAATATACGACATTTATAATTTTTCACTTTGACCTTCTGCTCTTTAAACCTGGTCACAGTCAATGTAAATTTAATTGTTTCCAATGCTGTTGAAGAGAATTATGTTTTTAAACTTAAATTTAAAAATTAAAGATCTTAAACTCACCTGAAGTTTCATTTTTATAAACTCATCACCTTCCTCTACCATTTATCCTTTGAAAATTTGCATATATTTCACATACTCTTCAGTCAAGACAATTAAAAAAACATTACATTTCTTTGTGTCAAAAATATCAGGTTTTGTAGATTATTACAATATAACAAGTGACGATTTATGGTTAAGATTATTATCCGAACTTTATAATTGTATGTAATCTTCGTAATAGTGATTCAAACAATACAACCAAATCATCGATATTTATTAACATAATACCAGTTTGTAGGTCTAGTCTAGTCTCTTGCGATAGTTGCCAAAATATATTAGTATGTAAATATTATTGTTTTATTGCTGATTTAAGTTTATCTAATTTCGTTGTAAGCCATCTGCATGATTTATATATGAAACCATTGGGCAGATCGAAGTATATATAATTAATATCATACAAGTTTATATCACACGTACTCGTACATTCAACGAATGCTTACAAAAGGGTGTTGAATTCAACGATCAGTTGGATTAACCTAAATCTGGTAGTAATATACGGTTATTGAACTTTAATTGATTTTGTGTTCTTAATTTCTATTTGAATCACACTCCTTTCGTTCTCAAGTGCCTGAACGATATGATTTTCTAAATTATAAACAAGTCAAGAAATTAAGCGTGGAAAACACGTGACATATGTGCAACATAAATGCATATTGTGCATAAATTGAAACTAAAAGCAGATTTATTGCATTAATTGAGTAATATTAAGCATTCATTTGAGTATTATTTCCCCATTTAACCAAGCTGTTAATATCGTTAAATTTACAGGGTAATAATAATATGGACATGGTGTATAATATGTAACACCTGCCTGCTGTTTGACAATATCCATTTTAGTGCTCTTGGGTAGAAAATATCCACTATCACCCGAGTGTTGCGTGTTAATGCCTCGGGTATAATATTATTTATATTAGTTGAAATTATTTGTAGCAACCGGGAGACATGAGTTATCTATGTTTTTGAAAGTGAGAAAATACATACAGATTTATACCCCCATATACATAAGAAATAACTGGGAATATATCCTAAGGAGTGATATTCATTTGCCTAGATTTATAAAAGAAATATTTCCTATAGAATGTTAAATGAAGGCGGTATCCTATTATAACACAATATATGTCTATAGAGGGAAGTTTAACATAAATTAGATACTTAAAGCCGCAGTAATGAATCCAAGAACTGAGCAAAACAAATACATTCTGTACGCAGTATGAGTGCATTGCTATTTCATAAATGGAAGTGAACATTTTGTTCTCTATTGTAATTTGATACGATTTCCCTAACGAAAGTACGCAAATAATTTTCTATTGTATTCTATTCTAAGTGATTGAATTCCTCATATTGGAAGAGCCAATTTAAGAATTATAATTCATGCCAAAAGATAAAACATAATGTCAATTGAATAACGACGACTTAGTTTTTACCCTGCTGTGGCAAAATACAATGTAAGTGGTTATGCCAACTCCAATCTCGTTGCTTTACCTTACTACAAATGTTCAGAAACAACAATTAAAATTATGTTTAGTCTAGAAATCATCTAGTACATCCGTAAAATCCATACAATTTGATCATTTTCGTTGTATACAGATCACAGGCAAACATTTCTAAATGTTATACAATCAAGAGCACTTAAAAGAATTGTTTCCATGCACACGCAGTCTCCATCGCAAAACAATAAATGTGATTTTGATATTTCGATGATAATTATGTACTTTCTCCGTTACTTAATTCCATAAATACGATTAATTTAAAAACAAAAACAAAAAAAAACAGCAACCCCCCATAAAAAAACAAAAAATACAAAACAAACAAACAAACAAACAAAAAACAAACAAACAAACAACAACAACAGCAGCAGCAAAGAACAAGATCAATAAATACCTTTTTCGAAGCCGTGCATGTGTTCTTAAATGAAATTAAATTTTCATAAAACTGTAGAAAAATTGCTAAAAGCCACAAAGCCCTGTCAATAGGCACCAGAAACATGAAGTATGTATGGCGGTATACTGTTGGTAGCTCGATCTTTTATCATGATATTGAAACTATTTAATGACCTCTTCCAAATATATCAGATATAAGGTAAAGTTTACACAATGGGCATGATCCATTTGTCAAACTAGATATGTCGCGTTAAGAATTCTAGCTTTCAATTTATTTCTGCTATAAAAGTATTTTACACAAAGATCAGTATAGTATATCTTTATCAACTTCTTTTTTAAGCAAACATGATAGAAGAGCATTGAAGAATGGTACAGGCCGAGTTTTGTGACGATTTACCCATGGTCCAGGAGAAGAAGTGCTGAAAGATATTTACTACTTTTAGCACAAGTAGTTCAAGAAGTTTTGAGTACAATTTTCAACACAGGATTTTCAACATAGTTATCTTACATTACATTTTTACAATGTTACACAGTCATCAGCAGAAAGCGTTAACAGCGTTTTAACTATGAACAGCTTTGCTGGAGGAAGTGAAGTATACAATAAGTTGATGAAATGTTTATTTTTTTCGGCAAAATGCACTTATTGTCTTTTATAATAAGCAATACAGTTAAGCTCCACCTAGTGTTACCTGCATGGTATAGATAAACACATTGTTTGACATGTGTATAAAACAATTATTCTCTCTTAACCATTCTTTGAAGCGATGCAGTAGCTATTAACGTATAGCTAGGACATCTTGCTAAGTACTAGGTGTCTTAAATTTATTAAATTGTTAGAATTAAATCATTTGGCTTTAAATATTGGTTTTGTTCATATTTCGTACAGCTTGCAGTTGTTTTTGTCCTCTTATTGCTACTCTAATTGCTTACTGAATATTTCTTGAAATGCTGGAAGAAGCTACTGCAACTCGCTGCTGTCTTTACCTAATACTTCTTACTTTAGTCCTGGTACCATGTTACCTTGATTGTTCAGTCCTCTAGGCACATTACATTGTAATGGTTGATTGGTTTGTCAGGCAACATTCTCTGGACAGTGCTATGTAACCATATGATTTGTAAATTTGTCAGGTACAACTGGTTCAAACAACATGACCAATATTCAAGTCGAACCTGCTGTGACAGTGCAATTACAAGGATACCTCAACTTTTACTTAAGATTTTGAATGGCATATGCACTTAAATTGTTACAACCGTTTTATATACAAAGTATGTTGTACTGTACAAGATTACTTACACTGGTTGTTACTAGACAGCTTTTTACGTTCATTACTTAACATTACAAGGGTATGCAATGTCTAAACAAATTGTTACCTTTATTTGATGAGGTTGTTTATTCATTCTCCCTCTGACCTGTAAAATTAACTAGACACTAGACAGCCATCAAGAATTTTTACACTGAAATGCAGAGTGAAAGAACCCAAACTTTAAAAAAACTTCTCGACAGCTAATTAGGGGAACTATGGAATAATATTAATTGCTTTATACATATTTGCACTAAATAATATGCATAAAATGTTTCTATCAGTTGCAATGGGTTAAACTGAGTGTTTTTTATTTACAAGGAATATAAGAATAACTTACCTTACTTTAACTCACCTCTCAGGTCTTGAATATATCTTTCACAGTGCTTAGTATTTAAACCCTTTTTGTATTGTTTTATCTCAAGAAGAGTTTTGCAATATGTTTTGCGAAATACAGTTATCGACTGCTGCTACCATTTCTATTCTAATGTGAGTGCCATATTCATTAAGCGTTTTCGGCGCTTCCATCTACGTCCTATAATGCGCCGATCTTAGAGTAACACCAAGCTCTAGCCAGGAGTGGTAGGCTTGAGTCCATCCCCTGCTTCATCTGTTCTTGAAGTGGATACTGCCTAACTATTGACCTTTTGACCCTCCATCCATGACTCTTCTTTCTTGTGCCAGGTCTACAGTGAGGCTTACTCTGCTTCATGTGTTATGTTAGATATGGCTTTGCTGCGCGCTTATCCTGTTATCCAAGTTTGGACCTCTCCCTAAAACCGAATACACACTTTGTCAAAAACTTCTTAAAAGCACTGCAAATTCGACCAAACATGCACAAATTATTCTTCGATGATTTGCATTATTTTCCTCATAAAGGTGGTAATGTAAATCTGAAAAATAGCGTAGTACTGGTCACTTGTCCTGTGTGGACTTTGGAATCTGTCCGGTATGATGTAAGATTCAATTCTGGTCTCATTGACACAATTGTTCGTAAAAAAAGCCGGAAATTAACCTGAATGAGAACCTTGCAGACACACTACAGTGATACTGCTAAAATCTGGAAACAAGGAATCCTCGGAAGCATTATCACATAACAAATTAATGAGATTGCAGGACTCGGTTTGATGAGTCTGTACATGAGGGATAATGAATATGTGCAATCCCTCATGCCTAGCACCGGCGTTGGCGGTTCTCAATTTTTCAATCCTCCATGTAGGGATTAGACGTTCCATAAAACGTTCCATTTATTTAATGACTTCGTGACTCCAAACTGAGCTACGCGTCTGCAACATTCTTTTGTTGATTTGAAAATATCTCTGTAATTCAAACCATACAATTTTTGATTCCCATGACCTCTGATAATGAATTATATGTAGACATCCCTAAATAACGTCCAAAATGGCAAAATCTACCATCCACGATCGTCTTATATTACGTTGAATTCAACATTTGAATTTGTTTTGTATTTGGAAACATTGGCTGATGTGTGAATACGGTAATTAACACGTTATCTGTGACGTGGTCTGCAACAATTGACATCAGAATGAAAATGACTCACTATTTCATCAACTCTTTCAGCAGTTTACTGTGCTGTGAGATTTTACCATAGACAAAATCTTGAACATGGTTCGGAATGCAATATTTAGCCTCCTAGTTTAGATATAAATCAGACCTTTTTTAATTAGTAAATTGTAAGGCAATTTTTATATTAAAGACACATTCATATTAACATGAACATGTATTAAGCTATGTCTGGAATCAACAAACAGATGAGAATAATATACTTTTCAGTTGATAAAACAACACATTTAGTAGATATTATCAACGCTGGTACTCAGGCATAAATAATTCGCCACGCCTTCAATCTTACTGTATACTTAAACATATTTTCAAAATTATTTAGATTGCATTAAAGAGTCCAAGTATATGGTTTGACTATCAAGACTTAGAACATCGTCGTACAGTTTATTTATAG